TTCCTGCAAGCGTGTTTTATGGCAGTGATGTATAAATGCCTTCCGGTCTGAACTGGTTACCTGTGATTACCAAGCCACCCCCTGGAAGGTGGGAGCAGGAACCCTGGATTGGGATCAGGGACACATCCTCAATGATCCTCCAGGTCCTCTGTCTGAGCCTGGCCGCAGGAGGCCTTCTGGTCTCCTGCCATTCATCCATCCTGCTCTCAAGCTCTCCTCTTCCTCTTCCCTCTCCCCATGGGCATCTTCATTCCCATTACATGAGCAACTCACTTCCCAGAATACGTTTCTCTGCCTTATGTTCCCTTGAGCTCTTCCTTCAATAAAGCCAGGCAAACTCCTACTCATCTGTCAAACCCCAAATTATTTCTCTTCTTCCAGGAAGCATTCCCAGACTGCTCCAATCACTTGCTCTTCTATAGTCCTGCAGAACAGAGTACACAACTCTCTCATATCACTTAGGATATTAATAATAATAATGACAGCTAAACATTAGCTGATCACTTACCATGTACTAGGCAGCATTCTAAACACTTTTCAAAGATTACCTTATTCAATGTTCACAAAAACTCCATGAAGGAAGAAGCATCATTATCCTCACTTTACAGAGGCTGCTACTGAGAATAAGGAATTAGGTAAGTTGCCCAAAGACACAGAGCTCTTAAGTGACTGACTGATGCCTAGACAAGTACCTGGCACATGGTAGCTGCTTAATCATCATTTACCTCAAAAATGATTAAATAAGTGAGTAAATACAGAAATGATGACATTTCTGTCCCCTCTACAGAAAGCCCAAGTGAGAACCATTTCTTACTACTCTTTCAAACCATCTCCTCTGTCAAACACCTACTAAGGTGTAGGGTATAGGAAATACCCAATGAATGAATAAACAAAACACTATACAAGCAATCCAATAAATAGACTCCAAACCCTGGCAATGCCACCCACTAGCTTCAACCAAACAGCTTCAGCTTCCTGGGCCTCCTGGTTTGCCATCTGTCAAATGCAGAGATTGTATACAACATTCTTTCAACTTGCTTCTAGCATTAAAAGTATATATAAAATAAATGACCAGACTCAATGACTTTGTGGCGATAGTAACTCCCAGGCCAAATAATGTATTTTACTTTCTTAGGGGCTGTCTTCCCCAGGAAAAGCACAATCAGATGTGGCATTTGATCTAGGTACTACCCTAATTTGCAGTCAAAATCAGCCCTGAAAGAGTTTCTTTGGCCTGCTCCTTGGTTCGCTCATTTCTTATCCAAACAGATCACACCCAGGGAAAGAATTACTAAGTGCTTGGCTAAACCCTCATAAATAATAATCAATAATGAACAATAACCCCAAGTTAGATTATGCAACTGGCACATAAACTACTGCTCTATGGACCTTGCAGTTCCTCCTCCCTATCCCCAGCATATGAACCAGAGGTCATCTTCTCCAAACAGACCCTGGTCACCAATCTTCCCCTGCCATCACCACTAGTGCACGCATGTGCACACACACACACACACACACTCCTGCTGGCATGACGAGCTTACAGCACCTGGTAGGGGCTGATTAATGCTTGTGAATCACTGAGGCCTAGATCCACTCCATATGGTGCTGAGATGCATCCACATCAGGGCAAAGGTGGGAGTTCTGGCTGCATTTCATTCATTCCCACTCTACCTGTGACTAAGCAGGAGCTTGGCTATATGCCTGGTACCTGACACATCTGTGTTACATGGCTTAGCATTAATGATGAACCACAAGCATGCTAATGCCCATCACTCATTGTTTTGTTAAAGCTCAGCATCAGCTACTACACCAAGGGATAAACCTAAGTGAGATGTGTGAGCAAGACAGTGTCTGTTCATGTTGGAAGACAGGGAAGACCATGTTCTGTGTTCTGTTTGACTCACAACCAGGAGACCCAGGCTCTTAGAGTGAACATTACCCTTCATTACCATTACCCACATGAATCCAACATGCAAAGGCCTGGACCATACCTAGGATGCAAACAAGCAGTTGCTCATCATGTAGAGGACACCTAGTGTTTGTCTATCTCCCACCTCCCATCCCTAGGGCCCTGTTTCTCCCCTCACGTGAATCATGTGAAGCTTAAAAGGGCTGTCAAAGACAGTGGTCAGCTCCCTTGGTTTTGGCCTCAATAACTGGCCCAAAGGTGAGCTAACTGAAATCCTTGCCTAAGATTTTATTTTCCATATTGAGCAGGAAGACAAAGGTCTTTTGAGTCACAGAGCTATCAAGATATGAACAAGAGGCTAGAAACATAGAGAAAACTTGTTTGCAGGAGGGAAGAATGGAGCCAAGACAGAGCAAAATATCTAAGAGATATTTAGATGGAAGAAGAGAGGATGGGAAAGACTTTGAGTGTCTGGACCTTCCTGTTCATGTGGGTTAATCATCTCCCTGTTTTGTTTAGGTTAGTTTGAGTTTCTAAAATGTGAAAATAAATTCACCTAATAGTCACAACCATTTTTCTTTATTTCCACAGTCCAGTAATTGATTTGAAATTTGAGTAATTTCAAATTCCACAAAGAAAACTGAAGAACAGCAATATTTTGTTTAAATTCTTTTTTCTGTACACTGAATGCATTTTCCAACAGGCCTTCTACAACTCCGGAAACAGGTAGCTTTTATGAGATGGGCCGCCACATTTGATGTCTTTGTTCCTCCTCCTGAGAAAGGTGTAAAAATTCCTGGACGAGAACCACTCTTACTCAACATCACTAAGGAAAGACATGAGTCCTTTCTCTTTGTTTTAATATCTTAGACATCACTGATGACCTGCCAGCCACCAGTTGTACAGATTCCTCCATTTCAAAGCCATCAAACTTGTAAAACAGGGGCTGGCCAGACAAGCTAGGCAACCAGCCAGTGATTTTTGGAAGGACATCTTCCTGGTGGTCACCCCTTCATTCCATCTCTCTGCTGGCCAACTCCCTCTGAAGGTCTGTCTTCAGATCCCCGAGAGAGTCCCCAGCAGCTAGGAACTATTTGGGTATACGGGGTGACGCATTTTCTGATGCGTCTGATTGCTGAATCATTTTCTAATTGCTTTCTGACAATAAGAGCTCTGAAAATCTTCCTTGAGAAAACATATTGCACTCTAGCCACCTAACTTCCATAGGACCTTTGAAAAAGGAAACTGCTATATATGGTTACTGAAAAGGGTGATGCTTTGTAAGTGAAAAGTTTCCCACTCCTAGAACTCTGACAAGCTGCCCAGTGAACCATGAACCATGAAACTATAACAGCTAGAAAGGAGGTGCTGGGTGAGGATGGCACTTAGGATACTGGTCCCCGCCGCTTCTTTCTTTAAAGCTTTCTTCTCCTTGGGTGAGGCTGGAGCTTAGCAGGTTATGGTCAAGCCCTTCCTGGATATCTAGTATGCTCTGGGCTAAAATGACTGCTGCTTCGCCTGACGAAATGCTCTCCTATACCCTGTCCAGTCTGCGTGTCCCAGGCTCAGAGGAGCTTGGCAGCTGTCTTCCCCAGGGCAAGGGAAAGTGGCTGTATCCCACGGTGGACTCAACAGCTCCGCATCACCAAAACAAAAACACAACAGTTCTGATCTCTATGGAGAGTTCAATCCTCTTGTCCAGGATTGGCACCAACTAGAATTCCAAGGGCTCTGGCCGAGCTACCTCCTGTGAGGTCTAAATACAGCACGATTGCTTTTAACCTAAACATACAGCCTGGACCAGTGCCCAGGGCTGACAGCCCCCAGGGAAGTCTTGACTTCTGGCTGCCCATTCGGGGATGGGCGATGCAGAGCTATCAGAGACATGATGTGCTAGGCACAGGTTCACCGATGTCACCTATGTGTGATCCTGAGCAGAGGAAGGGGATGGGGTGGTGGAGAATGCAGAGATGTGAAGAGGAAGAGAAAGAGAGGGAGGAAATGGTAATAAATACCAAAGACCTATTTCTTAGCCAATTAAAGTCAGGGGATCTTTCTCAAATGTTTGTTCCCAGAGGAGCACAACTGTAATTATGTCTCTCCAGGGACTTCAGGGCATAAGCCCTAAAATCAGAGAGATTGAGGTTGCCTTCTTGTTGTGTGGCCTTAAGTGAGACTGACTTTGCAGGTTCCATATCTCTTAAGTGACCCAAAGGACTGCCGTACTGTTCAATTAGACCTCATACAGAACGGGCCTGGCCCAGAGAAGCTATTTGGTAAATAATGGCTCCTAGAAATAGTGGTAGTAGTAACAGCAGAAACAGGATAATATCAAGCATGCCTTTGATGAGTGGAATATTTTGTGCCATATCAATAAACAAGGATGTGTCAAGTCATCCTCAACTGCAGCCCTCCAGTGCCAGGTGGTGAGCCTTAGGGGCACTCAGAAAGGAGACCAATACCTGCCATCTAAGCAGCTATAGGGCTACAGCCACTCCCTACAGTGAGCCCTGAGGAATTCAGGATATACAAATAGGACACTGGCCCCAGATAGCTGAGGTGCGTTATCAAAGGAATGATTTCTGTGAGTCCAGACTCTTGCATCTTCGAAGAGCACTGATTTCCTTAACTTAGGGTATCTGGCTTTATTCAGAAATAATCTTGATGTTCAGTCTATCTGCCCTTTGTTGCAAAACTTCCATATAACCTGGCTCCTCTCCTCACCTCCTTGGAGCAATTCTCTCCTACTTGAGCTGCTGTCTCCTGAAAAATCCTACAAGTCCGTACCAAATAAAGCATAGCTCTCAGCTTTTAGGTTATGAATATTTTTCAATTTGACACCTTTATTTTCTGTGCCCCAGAGAGCACATAAGAAGAATTGCTGAGACCACCTTGATAGGATAGAAGCCCCCAACCAAGATAAGCTGTGCATATACAGACAAAGGTAACCTTCAGCTGAGTCAAACAATAAAACACAAGCACACCTGCTAAGGACCTTACGCTGGCAAAGTGACAACAGGTTCCTAACCTCCCAACAAGCCAACCCACACGCCCCACAGGGTAAGAAGCGTCTATGCAGGGGTTTCCTTACCTTGGTGTTCATACAAGACTTTCCTCGCTTATACTCTTTGTGGGACCCACGCTTGTCCAGTTTGTACCACAGGGCCTTGGCCTTCCAGGTGGTCACCTTGGACTTGAGCTTGGAATAAAAGTTTCTGTGGTCCAGAGGGTCTAGGTCCAGGTGTCGGGTGAGGATGTTGAAGGCCTGAAGGGTACCTTTGCATGTGGAAGCTTGGACAAAGTTCTCGAATATCTGCCCAGCCTGGGTCTGCTTCTCATCCTCATTTTCCCCCATGTTTCAGGAGACACGCAGAGAAGTGATGTGGAGAGGGGGGAGGAGAACACCATGAAGTACCTGGAGAAACGTCACACCTGCAAAGGTAGATCGAGGGAGAGGTGAGCTCCATGGATGAGAGTAGGGTGGGGAGAGAGTGCAGAGAGGTAAAAATACAATTCTTTTAAGATACTAATATACTAAACATAATACCAACCATACATACTCTACAGGAGAGGTATAATCATACCATCTAACATGGCAATGCTGCCTTGCTGGCACTCTCCCCAACACTCCACTCCCCTGGCTGGCTGCAAAGAACTACAGATTGCCAAAGACATACCCTGGCTGATGTCAACATTATCTGGTCAATCTTGCCATAAGCCAGACGGTTCTGGAAGTAGGAACTAGCAAAAGGAAAACAAACAAACCCAGAAACCCAGATTTCACACTGCTGAAAACCTATAATTCTTGGTACCATAAACTGATTGACTAATATTAATGTAACCTAACCACATGACACAAATGCACAGTTCCCAAAAAGTAAAGCTCTCTAGATTTCATGACCACCATCCCACCTATCTTTAGACATCACACTTTTACATCTTCCTTCATTAGTTATCAGAGGGCAGATCTTCTCTTTATACAGACAACAAATGGCAACTTCTCAAGTCTGCCAGAAGGACAGCATCCATTTCAATGAGACACACAGAAAGACAGAGAGACATGTGGGTCTCCTCCTGATGCACAAAATGAGTCTGTGCTTTGTAAGCCCAAGCTGGGAACTATTTGGAACAAGTGCTAAAGGAAAGAAAAATGTGATGGAGGCTCATTCACATCAAAAAAATAGCTTGCCGGGGTTTTGGCCATCATCCTTTCTTCTCTGCACCACTCTAACCTCAGGCATTTTCTTAGGAAAGTCATTTAAGTTTCAAAGGAACAAAATAAATTAGACTGATTTTCCAAAGCACTAGCTATTTTTCCAGAATCTGAAGCTGGTGCAAGAAAACGAGCATGGAGGAGCTGGGGCTGACCCTGCTGTCAGCAGGGCTTGAGGGAGTCTGTAAACAGAGGACAGAGCTTACCAGGCTCCCCCAGACAGAGGCCTGGCAGGAGGAGATCAGCAAACAGAGACAAAGCCCTCGGGCTGGGTAGCTTCCCACTCTCCAGACAGAAACGCCACTGTGGGTGCGCTTGAATTGCGGGCTGGCCTTATAAAACTAAAAGCAGAGGATGGTGTTTATCTTCTTCCTTAATCCTTTACTCGTTCATTAAGCAATAACTATGGTGCCTTAGCAAGGGCCACACATCACCCTAGATGCTAGAGGAGGATACAGAGACAGGGACTGACAAGGAAGGCAGACCCGTAAATAGTTGATTACAAGACAACAGGCCAGCGCTTGTAAAACTGAACACAGCACATGGAAGCCCAGAGGAGGAGATGTTCAACAGAGCCTGGAGAAGCCCAGAGGAGCCACAACAAGGAAATGCCAAAAAGCTGTGATTTCAGGAATGAGGTGGATTTCGCTAGATGACTTGGGAATGGACCATACAGAGGCACGGATCTGGAAACAGCCAGCATGGCTGCAGAATGACAGCAAGTTCAAGGCATTGGGAATTCAGGACTGATGTCCTGATGTCCCTCATCAGGACAAGGTGTCGGGGGGCAGACTGTAGAGGGAACTGGGCTTCTCCAGTGGGCCGTGGGGCACAGACAGAGCAGCGGGGTGAGATAAGTCTTTGGGAAGATGAGACGGCAGAGGTGGACTGGAGAAGGAGGCAGCTGAGGATTGCCCAGGCGCAACGAGGAAAGAAACTGGCAGGGCAGGGGGAAGGAAAGCACACACATATATGTTACGCAGAGCCTGGCTGGGCGTCACCTGTGAGGGGCTGCTCGCTGGGGGCAGATAAGCTCTCCAACAACCCAGATACTCATGGGTGAAATGGCTCGGGCTACAGCATAGGACACCTCCCTCCCGTCCCTCTTTCTCCAAGAGCTTCCAACAGGCCTGGCACAAGACTCAGCAGAAGGGAAAACAGGACATTCCCTGCTTCAGACCCAGCCAAACTATTCTGCAGTCAGGTCTCTGTCCTCTGGTCCCCTCAACTCAACAAATTCAACCAACTTCAAAAGCTGGCTCTGTGCTCTACCCGGGACTGAAAAGACATGGATTCTCTCCCATGTGGATCAGTCAGAACCTTTAGTGTCTGCAGTGCTCACATTGGTATCACTCACATAAACTTTGCCTCCTCCTATGTCTCAGCTTTTCCCCTGAGCAGGACTCACCACCCAGAAAGCATAAACAGAGAACAAGACTTATCTGCTTTTCCGAGCATATTAACATCCTCAGTCTTTATCTATCTTTGGAATCACTTCTATGCCAGGGACTGAAGAAGGGCTGGAGTAGCTAATTGACAGCTGCAAAGCTACTTGAATTCCACCGGAATCCTGTAGTATGGGATGGGCAGGTGGTGGAGAGGAAAACCACAGGCTTTGGGGCTCTTAAAGCCACATCCAAAGCTCAGCTTGGCCCCTCGCTGCCCACCTGGCCTCACACAAACCACATAAACTCTGAGCCCCAGCTGTTCCTTTTGTATGAGAGCCTGCAGAGCTGCGGTGGAGGGTGAGATACGGGAGTGAAGGCAGAATCTGGCCCAAGGAGGCACTGGGTAGATGTGAAGATGTATGCTGAAGCCATCACCTGCAGCTGATCTGAATCTGGAGAATGCCCCAGTTTGAAAAAACAACTTTGAAAATCAATTCTCCAAGTCACTCTCCCTCTTCTCCCTGTCTAAAATGGTGAACTGTTCTGAGTTATCAAGCTAGACCCAATTCTCAGAATAATTTATAAACTGGAAGAAATTGCCTCTTCCTAATGCCAGCTGCCTCCTCTCCTCCTCCGAAAGAAAAGTGAACAACTTAATTTTGCAGCTCCAAGGGAAAGAGCCAGAGTGGTGTTGAGGGCCGTGGGTGGGCGTGAGAGCTGCAGGAACTAGCTCCTATCTGGAGGGAGATATGAGCAGGTGGAGGGAGATGACTGGACAGGAGGAGATAAGCCCTGCCTGGGGCTGTGCCCCCGCAGCCCGTGCCAGCCTCGGCCCTGCTGCCGGGCATCTAGAGAGTCTAGTTTCAGCCTTTAAAATCATTTTCTAGTTTAAGTCAGAGATCTTAGGAATGACTGACACCCCCTAGGAGTAGGTCTCCTCACAGAAGAGCATCTGGATATACATGGAGTCTGGCAAACCCAGGTGTGGGTCTGGTCTCAGGCACTCACTAGCCACAGGACCCTTTGAAGGTTATCTAGTTTCTCAGCCTGCTTTCTCATCTGCTCAATGGGGATACCGATACTCAAGTCACAGGGTGGTAAGGAATAAATTCAATCATGTGTAATGTGTTTAGCACCTGTGACTCCCTGACGACCACCACTTGTGGTGTGAGCCATTCATCAGATGGCTCAAACCCCATCATACCAAAATGAAGAGAATATAACTGATGACCACTAGTACTAGCTTCCGGAGAAGGCAATGGCAACCCACTCCAGTACTCTTGCCTGGAGAATCCCATGGATGGAGAAGCCTGGTAGGCTGCAGTCCATGGGGTCGCTAAGAGTCAGACATGACTGAGCAACTTCACTGTCACTTTTCACTTTCATGCATTGGAGAGGGAAATGGCAACCCACTCCAGTGTTCTTGCCTGGAGAATCCCAGGGATGGGGGAGCCTGGTGGGCTGCCGTCTATGGGGTCGAGAGTCGGACACAACTGATGTGACTTAGCAGCAGAAGCAGCAGTACTAGCTTCCCAGGTCAAACAATTATATATGCTTTACAATTAGAGGCCATGGGCTTTCAGTACAGAAGAACTGGTTTCAAATCCACTTCCTAGCTGTGTAACCTTGGACAACTAACTCCCCTTCTAAATTTTAAGTTCCCATATGAAATGTGGGGAACCCCACATGAAGAAGTTTGAATGATGAATCGAAAACATCCATGGTACAAGGTAGTTTTGTGAATGAACTAGAAAGGCTGACTTAGAAGGACTTCCATAAGTTTGAGTCTGAGTTTGCAGAAACTGGAGTGTAGAATTTTGCTGGATACCCTTCTCTTTCCGCCAGAGAAGAAGGTCAGGATTAGTTAAGCCAGAGGATCCTGGGTAATAGCCCTTGTTAGCCTTCCTTGTCAACCACTACCCAGTTGTTGCCTTTTTGGAGTTTGGTATGAAATATAAATAAATGAACTACTCAGAAATATGAAAGGTTTCTGCATTTTTCTGGGAAGAAACAAGACATGATGCTTTAGTTTCTAAGAATAGCCTTGAAGCAATTTGGTCTTTGCCAACAAGTCCCTTATTTGTGGTTCTGCCTATGTGACTTCATGAGTCACAAAGCCATTGCTTCTCCCTGCCTCTGGCTGTTACAAATTAAAGCTCAGAGTTCCAGATTGCCAGCACTGGTAATGGGCTCTCGAGCCCCTAACATCTGGGAGACAAGTTCAAGGTTTATATAGAAGCCCTGAGTAGTCCTCAAAATAAGAGACAAGCTCCTGGCCCAAGAGTTACCAGTATACACACATGTGGGACTCCCACACCTCTGTTGTTCTTTGGCCTCATCACCTGTGAAATGGCATCAAAGAGTGTGACCAGGCAGTGTACAAAAGATGGGACCTCACTGGTGGTCCAGTGGCTAAGACTCCACGCTTCCAATACAGGTGGCCCAAGTTCGATCACTCATCAGGGAACTAGATTCCACATGCTATAACTAAGAGTTTGCGTATCACAACTAAAGAACTCGCATGCTGTAACTAAGACATGGCCCAGCCAAATAAATAAATAAAAGAGGGAATTCTAGAAAAACTGAAGGAAAGCTAGAAGAGACAGTGAGCAAAACCTTCTCTCAAAGCAGAATGAGGAAATGGCAGCCCTCAACCCCACCCTCAAGGCTCACAGACACATTTCAAGGCAAATGCAATCTAAAAACCAAACCCTCTTGTCATTTCCACTGCCAGACCCCTATTCAAACTCTCAGGTTAACCACCCCAAGGGGCCATGGGGGCAGGGTCCAGTTTCCTCAGCAGTGAAAGACGGGGAGGTTTTCGCCCCATT